TATGATTTTCCAAAATTTTGTTCATTCTCTTCTTATTATTCCACTATGCCTCCATCAAAGTCATATATAACATTAGATTTTAAACGTGGGGATGATCAATCCACGATTAATTAAAGCATAAATAACATTAAATAATTTTTATCACTATTCATATATTTGACCTAATTTACATTAAGTGTCACTATATCATATCATAAATTCATAATAAAAGATGTAAGCCACTAAAATTATTTGTAACAAGAACAAAAAATAAAAACTTCATTAATAAGCAAAAGTGAAAGTTCAAGAGAAAAAAGGTTGAGAATAATAAAACTCAGATCTTTCCAAGGAATAAATGTTTCTCCCATTCAAGGAAACTCTTATTCAACTTTCGCACCCCCTTTCCTTCTCTCTCATAGCATACTAAATTTATAGGAGTAAAATAACACAAATAGCAACAACCCCTTAAATATTCAACTCTTTTTTTATATGCAAAGGATAAGATAGCCCCCATAACTAACCACAGTACCATGGTATATGAATATATGGCACTATAGCACACAAAATGAACTAGCAATGCAGTGCTTCGACATTATGGAAGTGTGACATTATGGGTGAATCGACATATCTCTGTATCCAATAACAGCATTAAATTCTTCCGTCGCAATGCTCAAGTGATTTGGCACTATGGCACTCTAGATGGAAATTTGGTGATGTGGTGTTGGATCCATATGGCATTGTGGCACTAACCTCTCTATTTATCAATGTTCTACATGGCACAACAACGCTCAGGACACTAGAACTGTGGTGTTGCATACTTGAGTGCTATGGCATTCAAAATCAAAGTGTTAGAGCATCGATCTCTCTATCTTGGCATCAATGTTTGGGTGTTGTGTTTCTCAAGAGTTAATGCTATGACATTGAGCTCTTTGTTTGACCTTAAGGTTTTTCCCCAAGTGTTGTGGCGTAGTAATATGTGGTGTCATGATGCTCCACCAAATTTTCTTCTAAATTCACTTTTTTTCTGGATTTCCTGCATAAAATACAACTTAAACTTATTTTTCATACAAAATTTCTTAACATAAGAGATTAAAATTTTTCATTTTAATTAAATTTCCCAAACCTAAACCAATACTTGTCCTTACATAAACCATGTGCACTTGATTTTTGTCAAATCCTCATTTTGTTAACATTCAATTTAAATTTAACTTCAAAGAATAATAACATTAGTGATTCATACATTTCCACAATTGGCTAATTAAAAAATTAATATAATAAATAACAACATAACATAATTTACACATTTGCACAATTGATTATATCTCAAATTGTATTCTTTTTAAACAAAATGCCTAAAGGCGTGTCGAATTTTACTAACTTAACCACGTCTTAATAATATCAGGCTTAAATGAATTTTAAATTTTATTTTATATTTGTACTATAATTCCTACAATATTCTTAAGCTAGAACATCTTTAAACTAGATACCTGGAATTTAAGGATATGTTACTAATTTTTGTATTTTCACTTTTTAACTTCACACTTTTTGTTGCTTCTTTCTTTTTCTACTTTTTTAATTGACTCTTCATTTTTAGTCCAATTTAGCGCAACCTAAGGTTTATTATATGTTTCACGATTTAATGACTATAAAATTATAATATACCATAACGTTGACATAAATTCTCTATTCACAATAAGCCATTAATTAATAATCTTAGAAAATTAGTCAATTGCTTAAGTGCTTTTAAGAGTTTCTTTTATTAGGACATACTAATTTTGAAAAATTACTCATTTTTATTCTGTTTCTTATTATTATTATTATTATTCCAACATTATGTCCTGTCAATCATCTAAATTTTTATTTATTTACTTTGTTCGGTCAACCTTGACCAATGTCTATTCCCTGGAGTCCACCTCTTCGCGTATTGCACTAACATTATAGTGACTCCCTTTTAGCCCCTACGATAAGTCGGAGAAGCCCTTACAAATCACTTCCAACAAATCCGGAGCGATAGAGAACCAAAAGCTATGTCACCCTCCTGGTGATAATAATGAACCTTTAAAATCTTTCTCATCCTCTTGGTGATGAGGAAGAATCTTCAATCCTTTTTCACCCTCTTGGTGAAGGCAGATTACCCATGACCCTTGATCTTGAAGCTTCACTCCCAAGAGAAACTCCAATAACTAATCAAGGCCTCTAGAGGAAGCTAGGTGCAAGATTGCCTAGAGTAATCGTGTGAAAACCGCTTACACACAACCTCACTTTCTCCCTCTCCAACCCAAAAGTTTTCTCAAGAATTCTCCCTCAGAGTTCCTTCATCATCCAAAAATTATTCTTGAGACAAGTTTGAATTGCTTAAGTATAAGCCTTAAAAAAATCTTATGTTTTCAATTAAGTCATCACTATTCATACAATACAATCTCAGTTCGTACAATATAATTAGTTCAAAATAGGGGTTCGTTCAGTACGATGGAACAAATGTTCAGATGAACTATTTAATTTTTGCATACTTATCATACAATAAGATTAAAATTTATGAGTAGTTCAATAATTTTTCAACTCATTTTTCTCACTCTCCTATATGTGTGTGTACGATTGCCAATTTAATATACACACTTACATGGCCAATCTCAAGAAATATAAAATAAAAGAAATTGAAAATATAAACTCTTTCAAAAAATCTTATTATGTCCAAACTTGAGCCTTGATCATTCTTGAGTGATGTATGATGTACCTGAAATGTTGGTACACATAAGAAAAATAATATGTAATACATATGCTAAGTGATAAAAATTTAATCAATAATATTATTATCATCAAATTCATAACGTAAGGATCATGGATTGCAACAATCACATCCTTTTTTATGATGAAAAATATTTTTTATTAAAAATTCAAGTTAATATTTTTCTCCTAATCTTCCCTCACTAAGTAATAGATTTGAAAATAGGGATAAGATAATTTTTAATTAATGTTTTTTAATTTTTTTAAATTTTTTTGTTCTAAATGTAAAAAGTAAAAGTACAATACAAATATAAGATGTATAAAATGACATACATAATAAAGATGAACAAATACACAAACAACCAAACTACTACTTCCTCTTTTGACATCAACAAAGAGGAGGATCAAACAGAAAAAAAAAACTACATCATAAAGGGATCAAACAGAAACACAAAAAAAAAAAACTACTTCATAGAGGAAAAAAAAAAAAAACAAAAAGAACAAAACACATATCTTAAAAGTAGGAAGACCTTGATTAGGTGGTGGTGGTGGTGGTGGTGGTTGAAAATTCATGTGCATAGATGAAAAATGTTCGCCAAACCCAGCCATGTCAGCATCGTGTTGTTGTTGTTGCTATTGAATGTGTCTATCCAGTCGAGACTCCAATTGATCAAATTACTTTATCAAAACCTCCTAGGGATAAGGTTGGTATGCTTGTGTAGGCTCCAATGCAAGTGCTGCTACAGGATGAGCTCCTCCTTCCTCATCAAAATCATATTCGTCTTAGGACACTTAGTCCCGCAACTCAAGGCAGTTTATCTTAAAAACTTCATCTTTGAAATTATTGTTGTTTATGAATGGTTGGTAAATAATTTTTATTAATCAAGTTAATGATTTCTGAAATTTACATAATTATTGAATTTTTAGAATTATTTAATTACATTAATTAAAAGGGTCAAAAGTTGACTTTTCAACTTAAAGTGATTTCAATATTTTGGGTATTTTTTTAAAATACTAGACCTTAAAATGAATAAATAGGCTTTAAGTTTGCTATATTTAAATTTTTTTAAATTAAATTATGTTTTTTGAAGTTTTGGTCTATATTTAAACTACAAAGTACAAAAAAAATTGACTTTTGGATTTTGATTTATTTATGGTGATTTGATATTTTTAGAAAATACTAGACCTTAAATGGATTTGAATAATTTTGAGTTTGATCAATTTGAATTTTTTTGGAATTACTTATGATTTTTCAAAATTTACGTAATTAATTGAATTTTTATATTGTTTAATTTTTTGAATTAAGTTAAGAGAATCTAAGGGAAAAATTCTCCCTTTATGTCTTTTCTCTCCCTCACTTGGTTTCTTTTCATCCCATGAAGCAAGATACAAAATCCACCCAACAACACCTTAACATATACCCTTCCCACCGCAGCTCCCCTTCCCTCGACATCTCTCCAAAACGTCCTCTTTCCTAAAGTTCCTCCAATCACCTCCACATAATAAATAATAGCTTATATTTTCATCAACCAACCAAGATATAAGAAAATCAATCAAACTCTCATTCAACAAGTCATCTCCCTTTCTTTTTATTTAATCTATTTCAATTCCTTCAAACCCAAGAGAGCCTATGGTATCGAAAGTTCTAAGCTAGAGGCTATGGAAGAAAGCGTGTGAGCAATTTTTTGTGTATGCGATTTAAGACTAATAACATTTAAGAAATCTAGGAAATGCTTATATTTACTCCATTATGATAATTCTACATTCCATTATATTTGCAAACTCTTTTCTGTCTCAGAAATACTGCCAGAAAAAATAAATAAGTTTTGCACCCTATTACTATGGAATTTGTTAATGTTAAGAGAAAAAAACTTGAAAAGAATTTTTTTAAAATTTTATTTATGCATTCTAACAAGAAACTCATTGAGCATCAGAAGAAAACTCTTCAAATTCTTCTTGCTGTTAGAGCAAATTCTCTTCCGTTCACGCTTTAACAAACTCCAAAAAAAAGTATTGAGGTACAAGTTGGCTTCGTAGAATGATTCAAACTGGATCACGCTAACTGATTTACCACTAAAGTGTCCTTATTTAGGCTTTCATTGGATAACTGTCTTACAATATTACTATTTAAATCACAATCATAATTTTTATTTCATTACTATTTTTCATTATTTTCAAAATATTTTAAACTAAAAAGTTATATGATACAATTTCCTAAAATTTTATTTTTTTAACAAAAACATCACAATCATCTTTACAAAAAATTATAATTGACCAAAAAAAAAAAAACTTTAATATTTATGATCTTATCAATTCATTTTAATATTTATAACTGTTATTGGAACTATTCCAAAATGCGAGTGCACAATATCAGTTGGAAGGCAAACCTTCAAATATATTGAACTAGCATTCGAAAAGCCAAAATAAAGTAAAGAAATATACCATTAATGTCACCATTACAAGCATCCGCACAGGATTTAAATTCAGATGAGCACAAGTAGCCTTGAACCTGATTTACCATACCCAATGCTTCAATTCAGCAGCAGCTGCTGGTAGAAGCATCAGCTGGAGGTGCCTTTTGCTTAAATATGTTCTTTTTCAAGCCCGCTGAACTCTCAGCCAAAAGGCTTGGAGTCTCCAAAATCTGTCATATTAAAAAAAGTGTTCAGACTTACTCGACACTTTAGAAACTGCCTTTTTGTTGTCCTGCTTATTAGTGATATTTTGGAGCAAGACATGATTCCAGCAATATACTTTTAAATGGTTTATCTTTGAAAAAAAATTATGTTATGCATTTCAATGAGGCTTCATTTGGGACGATTTTCTTTTTGTTTCTTAAAGCAGCTTTCTAGTATAATTTTGTACTAAAAAACTGCTTTTAAGAAGCAGAAAGAATACTGCCCCAAACAAAGCCTAAGTCATAAATGATCGTCTATGGCCATTGTAAAGAAATGGTATTGGTAAACAAAGATGCCCGGAGAAAGAAGAAAAGAGAAGACTATCATGTTTGAATTTGACATGATCCTATAAGAATAAAAATAAAATATGCAATCAAGTGAACAGCTATAAACTCAAATAAATGCACGGAGAATAATAACCAGGTTTTTGTTCAGGTCTATAGGCAGTAAAAAAATAGAAATGGTGAATATATACAGTATATAAAAGGAACAAACCTTCAGAACAAGTTCCTCAAAACACTGCTCTACATTAACGCGAGTTTTTGCACTGCATTCCAAGAAAAGGCATCCATATTCTCTAGCAAAGTCGATGCCCTCTTTCTTTGAGACAGTTCTCTCAATTTCCTAAAATATAGATAAATATAAGTATTACTTATAGTGGAAATGGACTCATCAGATCATCAGCCTTATCCGAAATATTGTGGGCTAGCTTCTTAAAAAAATTCCTGTTATTAAAAGCTACAAGAAGCTAAAACCCATCAATTGGAATAAGGTTGACAATCGGAAATGTTTTTAGTATCCACTAAATTTGGAAATAGAGAATAAATATCATCATAGAGATGAGCAAATCATCGATAGAATTACATGTTCATGTAAAAAGATAGAGAAGCACCTTATCAACTTTGTTCCCAACAAGCATCTTGATGCAATCTTGATTAGTTGAATAGAGGTCAATTTCCTTCGCCCACACATCTGAGAGATTAGTGAATGTGTCCCTTCGTGTAACATCATAAACTGCAATGCTCACACCAAAAAAAGAAATAGATAGTTTGTCTGATATGTAATTTCACCAAATAATTCAATGGATCATATAGATAGACTACACCACATTAATAATAGTTCTTATAGGAATATACTTTGTTGTTGATTGTTATGCTAATTAATAACTTCATATTTATGTGGGATCTACAAAGTGTGAAAGCAAGAGAAAGAAGAGGGAAGGGGGAGAGACAAGACTAAGGAGGAAAAAAAATCCTTCAACAAGATTTTTTTGAAGGATCCATGGATCTTGGTTGTACAGGAAGACTTGGATCTGAAAACGGCGGAGGGTGGATCCCCTTCCCTCAGCAATTATTGCTACAATATTTGATGTCTTGTGATCTCCAAATCCAATCAGCTTCTGAACTTTCCAAAGAAAGTTATAAGCAGGCGTATCTCCATAGCTGAAGCCAAGCTCCGTTAACCTTTATGAACACCTTGCAGAGTGTCGGCTTTCATTATCTTGGTCAATAACAAACAGTTCAACGTCCCCTTATAGATTGGATGGCAGACTTCAGCCTTCGGAGAGAAACTTTAAAAGTCCTTATAAAGTTGTTTTTCCAAACCTTTTGTCTTCTACAAAACCAAGCACTAAATGCTCAACCAGACACAAAGGATTCCGCATACTCTTTCTTGAACTCCCTAGCTCTATGAATCAAAGGTTCCAAGTCCCTTCTCAACATGGAACCAGCTGACCCATCAAGGACCTTTGGTTGCCTCTGGAAGTAACTATCCGTGGCTTCAAGAAGAAAAGGGTTCGATCAGACAAAATCCATTTGGCCGTGGAGGTAGCTTAAGCAGACTTGGATTCGGTTGATCCATGCTAACGATGGAGAAAGGGCGAGGTCTGAAGTTTTGTGGATTTCAGTTGGCTAGAGGAAAGGAAATTGTGCCTGTCATGGGAGTGGAGGAAAAGGAACAGAGCAAAGAGCAAAAAAGGAACGGAGCAGAAAAGAAAATGGACCAAAGGAGCTCTCTCGGTTTGAGGCTTTTGGCTCAAGATTGTGGGTAAAAACGAAGCAGCGAGATTGTTTCGTTGATTTCATTTTAACTAGGAGAGCAAACAGCGATCGAGGCAAGCTACTCAGCGGGATTTGAGGGATTTTGGACAGAGCGAATACAGAGATACGAGGTTTGAGGTAAATGCGATTTGAGATATATATATATATATATTGCTTAATCTTATTTCTTTAATACTAAGATTAATAATCTGTCATCAATATTCAGCAACTTGAAATATCAGTAATGTGTCACTAAATCATAATTGCCTTGAATTGCATGCATTCCCTCCATTTATGTGTGTTTTGCCTAACTTAACATGTCGATTTTTCCACGTAATTTTTTTTGGGCAAATTGATAGTGTATTTAGGGTATTGACAACATTCTGGATGCAACGACGAAGTCCGTTCATCAATCGGACGTCATTTGGGCAGTACCGAGCGACCTTTTCCTTGAAATTTGTGTTTTGCCTTGGGATTCGTGCCACCACCTCGGCCTATCCCAATCAATCAAATAAGATATGCATTTTAAGTGTCAATGACGTTACGGAAGCAATGACGAAGTCCGTTCTGTGATCGGACATCGTTTGGGCATTGATCTTTATCAATTTCGAGTGTTGGCCGTCCTTTTGTACCTATCTCATCCAATTTGAATGTGAGAGGCCTCGACCTAGTAGAATTTGATGTCCTAATCGTGACGACGCAGTCCGTTTAGCAATTGAAGGTCATTTGTCCTTTCAAGTGATGCGCCGCTCCAACCCATGCGCTGCTTGATTCGCCATTTTCGTCCTTCTTATGCGTAGTTTGAGTTGTAGGAATCAACACCTATTTATCTAGTGAAATATAGGATCACATAAATGCATTCATGCAATTTTGAAGAACTATTATCTTAGCAGGTCATATATTAAATTATGGTTACACATAATGGAACGTCAATCATCAAGTATGAGCAGTAGGCATTAACGACATGCCAAGTTTTCACTATTAACAACATATTTAGCTTTACAGGAGACACCGGAGCTTATCTGAGGCTCCATTTGAGACCACAATCACAGTAAACAAAAGTGAAAACTAACTGCCGCAATAAAACTGAAACAAAATATGCAGCAAATTTACAGAAATCAAAAAGTAATTGAAATTAAAAAAGGAAAAAAGATTAAAAAAAATACTGAATCCCAAAACTATTAATGTCAAGAATCCTCAAGAAATTAGATTGCCACAAGAAAACTTGGCAATAAAAAACAAGAGCGGCAGAAACTTTTCATTGAATTCATCATATATTTATAAATTGTAGAAATAGCATGATAACTAAAATATCAAACTATTCTTAAGGCTTATTCTAGAATAATCTTAACAAAAATAAGATATAACGTGAAAATATTCAAGAGTAAAATTGGTGGAATTTTTCCAAAAGGCCAAAGGGCTGGCAATACACTCCATCAGAAGATATTTGGAAATTCTTGTAAGCAGATGATATCTTCATCTTGTCATAACGAACCCGTAGGCACACATTAATAGAAACAGAAAACACATCATGAACTAGGTCAAGTTCATCTGCAGCTATAGTAACAACAAGAACTGCGGCATGAAGGTTCGTTAATTCAATAGCAAAGTTGCATCTACATCAAGCCATCTGCAGCTATAGTAATAAAAAGAACTACGGCTTGAAAAGGTTCATCAATTCAATAACAAAGTTGCTTCTTTTAGTGCATATGCATGACACTAATAAAAAAAATCAATAACAAAGTTGCGTTATTAGAAGGATAATCAAAGTTACTATTAAAAGGAAAAACATGGACAAATTTATTCAATCATTGTTAAATGCCAATGCAGTAAGGCTTTATGGCTCTAGGAAAAGCTAAATAGATGGAGGTTCGATCACTTGCAAAACATAGAAAAACCAAATCAAAGTCGCTCATGAACTATGTTGCACGGATACTCCTATTTACGAGGCGTGCTGTATCGGACACGTGTCGGATACGGATACTCCTCCGATACGACACGGATACGTGTCGGATACGGCTTTGCCGTATCTAATTAAAATACTATTTAAATTTGACTGGACACGCGTATCGGATACGCGTGTCCTAGTAAAAAAAAACACGAAGCCGCAATTTACCCTATTCTTTTCGGCTTTCCACCGTTTCCGCTCAATATCCATATTCATTTATGCAGCTGAAACATTTCAAAGAGCTAGGTTTTTCGTTTCCACACAAGTGTTCATCTT